CTCACTGTCATGATTATTGTTACTGACATAACTCCAGTCTCCATGCAAATAAAAAGAAATAAAGTTAGACATCGGCATTTGCAACACTTAGACCTAATGCTTTTTAACTTGTATATAACTATATCAAACGTAGTTCTATTGTTTATAATGCTTCTGATTCTCTGTGAGTAAAATCAATAAAATCGATTCTGTTTAACTTTAATCAAAGAAGAGCTTTGCTGAGTGTAATCCCAGTTTAGGTTCCGCCAGGGCCACTCAGCTCCTGACCTTATTACAGCCTTGGTTCAAACATGGACAAAAGAGCTCAATTGCAGAGGTGAGGCGAGAGTGACAGCCCTTGATATCAAGGCTGCATTCGACCGAGTGTGGCATCAAGGAGCCCTAGCAAAACTGGAATCAATGTGTATCAGGGGGCAAACGCTCCGGTGGTTGGAGTCATACCTGACACATAGGAAGATGGTCATAGTTGTGGGAGGTCAATCACCTCAGCTCCAGGATATCTCTGCAGGAGTTCCTCAGGGTAGTGTCCTAGGCCCAACCATCTTCAGCTGCTTCATCAATGACCTTCCCTCCATCATAAGGTCAGAATGTTCGCCGATGAATGCACAATGTTCAGCACCATTCATGACTCCTCAGATACTGAAGTAGTCCATAACCGAATGCAACAAGATTTAGACAACATCCAGGCAAGTGGCAAATGACATTTGTGCCACACAAATGCCAGGCTATGACCATCACCAATAAGAGACAATCTAACCACCACCCCTTGACATTCAATGGTGTTACCATCACTGAATCCCCACTATCAACATCCTGGGGGTTACCATTGACCAGAAACTCAACTGGACTCACCACATTAACACACAGGCTATGAGAGCAGCTCAGGGACTAGGAATACTGCAGCGAGTAACTCACCTCCTGACTCCCCAAAGCCTGCCCACCATCTACAAGGCACAAGTCAGGAGTGTGAAGGAATACTCCTCACTTGCCTGGATGGGTGCAGCCCCAACAACACTCAAGAATACCATCCAGGACAGAGCAGCCCACTTGATTGGCACCACATCCACAAGCATCCACTCCCTCCAGCACCGACGCTCAGTAGCAGCAGTGTGTACTATCTACAAGATGCACTGTAGAAATTCACCAAAGACCCTCAGACCACTTCCATCTAGAAGGACAAGGGCAGAAGACAAATGAGAACACCACCACCTCCAAGACCCCTCCAAGCCACTCAACATCCTGACTTGGAAATATATTACCGTTCCTTCCCTGTCGCTGGGTCAAAACCCTGGAATTCCCTCCCTAACAGCATTGTGGGTCAACCCACAGCAGGTGGACTGCAGTGGTTCAAGAAGGCAGCTCACCACCTCCTTCTCAAGGGCAACTAGGGGTGGGCAAGAAATGCTGACCAGCCAGCAATACCCACATCCCACAAATGAATAGAAAAAAAATCCCACTTTGGTGAGCAAGTATTGATCAAATTGATATTACAATTGTACAGGTGGCTGCCCAAATCAATTGTTATATTCTTCCATTGTCAAAATTCTGAAATGGTAAACACATTTTTCAGTTTCTTAAAGATCTGGCAAGCTGCACAAAATATAGCACATGGCCAGGATGTGTGTTATCTAGAAAAATGTACAGCAGTTTGAGATGACACAGAACATTGTCTGGTAATGTAAAAAAATTAGACGCAAGGCATATTTCTGTCAGGCCTGTAGATCACGACATGAAATGCACAGCCCTGTAGAAGTGTGACTATATCTTGCTAAGCATTGAGACACATTTTGAGTACATCTTTCATTGCCAAGTCTGGATAAACTGCTATAAACCATGTTTGCCATAACTCACGGTAAAACTGTATTTTGTTGGTGTCATCAACATTGTAAGATTTGGCCCCAATCCATCACAGAATTAAATGAAAAGTGAAGAGAAAATCCACTTTGAAAATGAATTAAAAGTATTTCATTTACAGAATAGTTTTGAATGTCGGATTAGGTTAGTATTATACCATAATGTCGATTATGCTCAGTTCTCTACAATGATAAAATTATGTTTTACCTGTTTCATAACTTTAAAAGTGAATTGAAATTTAATGTTTTTTTCCTTCTGACTTAATCTGATTTATTGACCTATATTCACCTTAGCAGTGAATGTACCCAATGCAGAAACTAGTTCAGCAGAAGGAAATATTTCAGTTATAAAACAGAGGAGCTTCTGTTATATTCCAAATGGCTGGTTGGTTTCATAGAGACTGTGTACGCTTCTGACCATTTCTGTGATCCTAACATCACAAAAATGTCAAGCATTCACATTCTGAAGAAAAAAAAAACATGTTTGGGATCAGTGAACAGCAATGAAAAATTGAAAGATTAATCTGTTTGGTCTGGGTTGTTGATTTAGGGTTGAGGAAAAAGACAACAGGCATTTGTACATGCCAGAGCTATCCTTAAGGGCTAAGTGAAACTGAATGTAAATACAACATCCAGAGACATTGGTATTTACTTACCAAGTGTTTTTCCGTGTGAGACAAATAGCTCTGCCATCTGTTAGACATTACTAAAATTGCAGTTTTATTCTTTGTGAAAAGTGCAGTATTGATTCTGCCTGTGGTGGCTCGTGGGTAAGTGTACTGTGTGATGTGGCACTAAAACTATTCACACTGTAGGTAAGCTAACAAGTTTCAGTCTTTGGGATGTGCTGAACTAGTCGTTTTCAGCCAGGACACTTTAGGATCACAGCCGTTGACCTCAATTCTCCCAAGATAAAGTGGAAAATCAGCCCAATTGATCACTGTTTAGTGTCAACTCCTGAAAGTGCTTGATTGTAAACCCATATGTGCCTGATGTACATTGGAAATGAAGTGATCCTGCCATATTAGATCATGACTGTGGTAAGGTTAAGTTCATGGGTCTATGCTCCTGGAGCTTCTGAGGGTCTCCTGAGACCCAGTGAACATTGCCTTGGATCTTTACAAAGGCCCATGTCATTGCTTCCTGATATTGACTATTTGGAGCTGTATCAAATGTGGAGAGGAAGGGTCATCGGACCCGAAACGTTAACTCTGTTTTTTCCTTCACAGATGCTGCCAGACCTGCTGAGCTTTTCCAGCAACTTTGTTTTTGTTCTAAATGTGGAGAGGTTGTTTCTCCTTGTGGGAGGATCTAGGACCTAATAGCAACATCTCAGAAGAAGGGTTTGCACATTTAAGACAGAGATGAGGAGGAATTTCTTCTCTGAGGATGGTGAATCTGTGGAATTCTTTATCACAGAGGCCTGTTGAGGCTGGGTCATTATTCAAGGCTGTGATAGACAGATTTTTAATCAGTGAGGGAATCAGGTTATGGGGAAAGGCAGGAGTGTTGAATTGAAGGTTATCAAATCAACCATGACTTCATTGAATGGTGCAGCAGACATGATGGGCTGGATGGCCTACTTCTGCTCTGATGTCTTATGGTCTTAAGTGCTCCTGCTGTTATGATCCACTTGATGCTATATCCAATTCAAGGCTGTCTAAGTAGAAGTTATTACATACTCTGGTCACGAACAAGGCTTCTCACTGATGGTTCATCATGATGAAAGACTCCCTGGTGAGGAGCCTACATGAAACTTAGTGTGAAACCGATGAGACTGAATTTCATTTGTAAAAATATTTGGGTTTACAATTTTTTTAAAAAAGTTACGAAAAGCAGAATTGCTTCTGCAGTTTACATGGGAAGCTCTTCCTTTGATTAAAGTTCTTGTAGATAAGGCTGGAAATCAACAGTAAGAGAAACAGGGAGAAAAATAATAAGAAAGGTGTAATTATTTGAGAAAGACAAGTTAGAAAGACAAGGAATAAGTTAGGGAGTAATTATTTTCTTGAAGCACAGGGAATGACCCTAATAACCATTGACCTGTCTCTGTCACCTCAACAAACCTCTCTATTGTGTCCTTAACATTGTCACCTGTCACAGGGAGGAATGTTTTCAGCCATAAGTTGACTTTTGTAGACTTATCTTCAAAGGAACATGGGACATATTTACTCTTCCATACACCATTGTCCTGACCCTGCGTATTCAAGGAATTTGGAAGCACCAGTTAACAGTGGAACAGCCAGAGATGACAGAGTTAGTTTTTGTCATTAAACAGGAACTAGAGAGTTGAGAAGGCTAGTGATTGAGACACATAACTGATATCACCAATGAGGGCTATTTTGACTCATTTGTGCCCAACGAGCAAGCTGGCAACAGGCTCTGAGAGCTCTCCATTTGTGGATGGCTAAATAAATCTGCTCAGGCATCCCTTTAAGACAAGGAGCATTGAATGACATTTGCAGTATTTGGTTGCGTTGGAGGTGGACAGAGAGGCATAACTAGCAGCGTGTAGCCATATGGGAAGTTGTACTGATCCTGCTTCTCAAAAAGAAGCTGATCACATTTATTATTGTTATTCCCAGAGCTCTATCATTTAAAAGGATGCTGGTTCTTACCATTTCCTGCTCTGGGTATTGGGTTTTTTAACTGGAATCTGTGAGGGGGCCATGCTTAACTGCATGAAGACACCAATGTGGTCATAGCTCACCTCATGTGTAGTCCAAACCATAAAGGTTCTGTGTTTCCCACTGACTGTCCCCTGCCTAAATTCCATTCACTGTGAAACTGACAGTTGGGGGGGCCTCAATGTAGGAAACTGGTGGTCCATTTATTTTGGTTTTAGCTTCCAATTCATTGCTGCTGCACAGGAAAGGTGGTAAAGGAATAAAAATTGGAGCCTACATCTTACAAAATAGTCATGCGTTGACGATGTGCTTCTGATAGTTCATTTTCCCCAGGCCCACATTTGCTGTAAATCATGAACTTTTTACAGTCATTTCACATAATTACAAGCTAGAGCCTGAATTATTGTTGGCGGGAGAAAAGTTGCCCTTGTGTTTCCATTGAGTCTCTGATCACTCTGCTGTGCCTGGTCATTTGCAGTGGTTACACTCTTCTCAATTTAACTTCTCTTCTCATTCACAGGTCAGGTACTTAGGAAAAGTGATCATGAGGGGAACACAATTCACATCTGGTTGCACGGAAAGATCTGTGATCGAGTTGTGGGAGAAGCAGACACTGGATCAGGAAGATATCTCGTCGGCCAACGCCATTCTAGAAATACGACCTTTCCAGGTCCGTCTCCACCACTTGGATGGGAAGAGAGAGGTAACGGTCCAAACGGATACCTTCCAGGTGGCGCGGATCGCGTACTGTACGGCGGATCACCATGTCAGCGCCAACATCTTCGCGTGGCTTTATCGGGAGATCAACGATGATTTGTCCTACCAGATCGATTGCCACGCGGTGGAATGCGGGAGCAAGCTCGAAGCCAAAAAACTAGCGCACACCATGATGGAGGCCTTCAAGAAGACATTCAGCAGCATGAAGAGCGATGGGCAGATCCACAACAGCAACTCCTCTGAGGAAGTGAAGTCAGCAACATCAGACGATGGCTGAGAGGGGCGTTGACGAAATCAGAAACATCATTGACGGCTATTGATGACAACCATTGGAGAGAAATGAACGAAGGAAGCTAATTGAGGGTGGAACACCAATGAATCCTGAGCTGGTTCGCTTGCCAAAATTAGCCAAGCGACACATTAAATTGAGAAGATTTTTTTTTTACAAAAAAAGAATATGCATTATCAAAATAGTTGCATTGCAATCTAAAATAATTATGCTGTGACTGGGAGAGTAAAAGCAGCCTGACTCCCTAACAGAGATAAACACATCCTTTGATGGCAGCTCTTTATAAATCACCTGATAAAATTCATGGGAGTAATGAAATAGTAAACTCCCAAGCCACAACCAAGATTTAAACTGATGTTTAACTTTCGAGGGAACACAGTCCAAACCGTCCGCGAAAAGGGAATGGAAAACTTGCATTTAGATCGAAAACCAAGCCAGCAAAATTTATACATCCAAATAATTAAAAAGAAACGCATGGATCTATCTTCATATATTTCTACCAACATATAAGCTACAATATATGTAAAGATATATTCCATTTTTATAAAATGTATTTCAAAATGTAAGTATTAAAATGTAATGTTTTTGTTGGTACAGGCTCAATGGGCCAAAGGGCCTACTCAGTGCTGTCTGATTCTATAAATCTTTAAAAATTGGTGTGTATTATCAACTGTGACAAACATATGGAAGTATTTGATTGTAAATGAGGAGGTTCGCCATGTGAAGCTGAAAGAAAAACAGTGGAATAAACGTGGTGATGAAAATCTTTAGCCAGCTCAAACAAGAAATTGTGTTTACAAGCATTCCAAAATTGTATTGTTAGTATTACACAGTTTTAAGGAAAACACAGACTGTTTCCATTTTTTTCACTTCAGCTGCCTTGTTACACTTCCTTTTGTCATTGCTCACCAGAGGCCACTGTGTTTCAGTTTAGTTCAGCATGAAGGGTTATATAGATCTGACATTGTTTATATTACATGCAGAACTGAAGGATTGCGGTTCTCAAGCCCCTGGACTTCTGTAGTTTTAGACAGTTTACCTACATACTCACCATCACACTTTTTCATTTCCAACAAAACCCCTTAAAGAGGATCATATCTCAGGAAAACCAGATGCTGTAAAACAGAAACAAAAACAACAATTGCTGGAAAAGCTCAGCGGGTCTGGCAACATCTGCGGAGAGAAATTGGAGTTAACATTGCAGGTTGAGTGACTGTTCCTTGGGGAGTTCTGAGGAAGGGTCACCAGACCCGAAATGTTAACTCTGATTTTCTCTTCACAGATGCTGCCAGACCTGCTGAGCTTTTCCAGCAACTTCTGATCTTAACACAGGAGTCAGGTTGCCCCGCTTATTCATGCCCCGCTTTTCGTGTTATTACACAGCACACCCCGTGTTTTCCCATTAATAAGCATGACTCAAATTCCTGAGACATTGACCAGAAATAAAATCCATACGTAGTAAAGAACCATTAGTATTTGATTACCCTATCCTCATCTTTCCACCATTGGTTGGGTGAGAACAAAATTGGGTTCCCAAGCAGTCAGCATTTCACATTCTCCACAGGATCAATAGGAGGTGGCTAGTCCTTTGATGAATGAACAGAATGGATAGCTATGACACACAGCCAATATTGCACTGAGATAATGATCTTACTATGTGCAAATCAGCCTAAAAAACGACCAACTGAAATTCATGTACATGCCAATTGTCCTTTCAATAAAAAATAACATTAATGGTATCACAATGCCCGCATGTTAACCAAAATTATTTTAGCGTGTGATTGTTTTTTGAAAGTACAATGTTACCTGCACTTGTAAAGCTACACAATAAATTGTTACATGGTGTGGAATGGGTGGAAGATTGTTATTTCTCGTGTTAGAAATGTTACAATCTGATGTTGCATGTTACATTAACAAACGATGTAACTTCCTGATCCCTGGATCATTGGTCACAGCGGCAATGTTTTCTGAAGTTCAAACCTCTATCAGCATCACATGGAGGTGATGGCCTAGTGGTATTATCACTGAGCTGTTAATCCAGAGACCTGGATAACATTCTGGGGACCTGGCTTTGAACCCCGCCACAGCAGATGGTGGAATTTGAATTCAATGAAAAAAAAATCTGGAATTAGGAGTCTAATGATTACCATGAATCCATTGCCGATTGTCGGGAAAAACCCATCTAATGACCTGGTCTGGCCTACATGTGACTCCAGACCCACAGCAATGAGGTTGACTCTTAACTGCCCTCTGGGCAATTAGGGATGGGCAATAAATGCTGCCTAGCCAGTGACTCCCTTATCCCGTGAATAATAAAGGAAAAAAAAACTCAAACTGGAAAGGTGCGAGATGCTTCTGTGAGGTTTTGCATAGATGTGCGGAGTGAGGCAAAAACAGAAAGTGCTGGAGAAACTCTGATGTGTAGGGCTGGCGTGGACAAAGTCAGAAATCACACAACAACAGGTTATAGTTAAAATCACAAGCTTTCGGAGCGCTGCTCCTTCGCCACTGAAGTCAGGTGACTCCTGACTGGAGAAACTCAGCAGATCTGGCAGCATCTGTGGGGATGGAATTGGGATTAACATTTCAGGTCCAGTGATCCTTCTTCAGAATCTTCAGGTTTTTGTTTTGTTTAGTGAGGCTCGGGGCTCGGTTTTAACACGAGATGAGAATGTTGAGGCAGATTCAACACTGGAGAGGGTGAAGGTGATCTCATTTGAACGAAAGGCAGAACATTTTAACTTCGGAAACTGAATTTCCATATTTCAAACATTTAATCCTGCTTCACAAGGGGGAGCAACGTGGAGGGCGGGAGAGCTGAGAATGGGAAGTTACAAGGACAGCAAGAACCTTCCGGATACCCTTGGAGGTGGATGCTGGTGAGACAAGTCAAGAAAGGGCAAGATGAGAAAATTCCAATCAGGAAGGCAGAAGGTCAGGGGCATGGAAGGTTCAACATTCCCATGGAATGGCTGGGAAGAACAGACCCATTCCTCCTGAACCACACTGAGCTTTTAAGAGGGAATTGAAATGGAAGCCTACTTGAGTCTCTCCTGAGGGCTTTCCAATCGTAATTCTAGGCTCATGTCCTCTCTAGTAGGCCCCACAGCTAAAATGGCGCATGGGTTGAAATTATGTTATCAAATCACAAATTCAGTAGATAAATTAGGGCCCTGATTGGCTGGAAAGGATGCCTTTCTTGAAGTTGGAGACTGAGCAGCAAAAATAGTGACTGCTCCTGAGGACCGGGATCATTTCCCAAGTTTAAATTTTAAACCCAGCCCCGTTTGCACACATCTTGTCATGGCATCATAGAAAACAGGAGCAGGAGGAGGCCATACGGCCATTCAAGCTTGCTTGCCCATTCAAGATGACCATGGCTGATCGTCCAACTCAGTTCCCTGTTCCCACTTTCTCCCCATATTCTTTGATCCCTTTAACCCTAAGAATTATATCTAACTCCTCCCCCCTCCCCCCAGTCCAGGAACTCCCCACCTATGTCTGGGATACCACCCACACTCTCCATCTCCACCTCCTCCAGGATTTCCAATTCCCTGGTCCCCGACACCTCATCTTCACCATGGATATCCAATTCCTGTATACTTGTTCAGGTTGGTTGGCTCGCCGAGCTGGTTTGTTGTTCCGCAGACGTTTCGTTACCGTGCTTGGTAACATCCTCAGTGCAGCCTCTGATGAAGCGTCGGTGTGTTTTCCCACCTGGTTTTTAAACTCTGGGGTCCGTTGAGATGGATTGCCTCACTTCCGGGTTTCTGGAATTCTTTGGATATCCAAAGAACTGGGTCAGAAGATGCCTACACGAACAGCATCAGAAAGATTCTACATGCCCCGACACACTCATCACATTACCCTACATCAGGAACACGTTGGAACTCACCACAAGACTCCTACGACCGCTGGGCATCAAAGTGGCACACAAACCCACATCAACCCTACGACAACTGCTCATCTGAATTAAAGACCCACTCCCCACCATGGACAGGACCAATGTCATCTACAAGATCCTCTGCAGAGAAACACTACATCGGACAGGAAGGAAACTAACAACAAGAATACATGAACACCAACTGGCTACAAAAAGACACGACCAATACTCACTTATCTCAATCCACATGGACAAGGAGAACCACGACTTCAACTGGGACAACACCAAGATCTTGGGTCAGGCTAGGCAGAGACAGGCACGAGGATTCCTGGAAGCCTGGCACTCCACGAAGCATGCTATTAATAAACACATTGAACTAGACCCCATATACATTCCACTATGAAGGAAACCCGGAAGTGAGGCAATCCATCTCAACGGACCGCAGAGTTTAAAAACCAGGCGGGAAAACACACCGACGCTTCATCAGAGGCTGCACTGAGGATGTTACCAAGCACGGTAATGAAACGTCTGCGGAACAACGAACCAGTTTGGTGAGCCAACCAACCTCAACACCCACAACCCGAGCTACAAATCTACTCCAAAACCCCGTATACTTGCATTTCCTATCCGGATGGCCTAAAGGCCCTCTCCCGCAGGCCCGACCAGTCCCCCTCCACTGACACCCTCATCCACTTAACCGAACTTCTCCTTACCCTTAACAACTTCTCCTTCAACTCCTTCCACTTCCAACAGCCTGAAGGGGTGGCCATGAGAATCCGCATGGAAAAGTAGGTCGGAAATATGCCACTGGTACGTAGCAAATAGCAATGAAAATCAACGAAAATGGGAGGTTGAAAATCAACCATCAACAAGAGCCCATGCTGGGTCAGATTGCCCTGATGGATTACTGAATGTGAATAAAGTTGGTGACATTCAGCATTCTCCCACAGGGTTAACTTAATGGCAGAGCAAGGACATTTAATAAGGGGAGAGGGTGGTGGAGACCTGAGATCTCATGGAACGAGCGAATGATAATCAACGGTTAATTGGGTGTGAATTGGTTCTACAAAGACAGGCGGCTAGTAATCACTGACAGTGTGAGTTTTATGGAGTGTGCTTTAACTGAAATAAAGCTTTCACTGAAAGTATGGTCTTGGAGTCTGTTCAAAAACATTCATTTCCAAGTTTGTAACAAGCTCCACTCTGATTTAGTCTGCCGTGGGAAGGCTTCTGGCAAGTCCCTGGTCCTGCCATCAAATGAGGCTCTAAACTTGATGACTAATGCCCCCGACAGCTTTTACCCTGCAGCTGCTGGATTTAACGCAGTGATCAGGGGTCATGCCATGTGTGGAATATCGCAAGGAAACCATGACGTATGGAGTGCAGGTGGGTGCAGAGGTCATTCCTCAATCAAGGGCACTCAGTGCCAATTGAGGGACCCAGCATTGGGTAGACTGGACCCCACTGAGTGCTAACCCACCCTTTGAATGCCTTATCAGTACGTAGCTTAGCCCCTTCCAGTGGATAAGAGATACACCTGCCATATTGGATGCTCTCTTACACCCCAGAAAAGTGGTGAGGCCTCACCGTGAGGATGTGCAGGTTTTCAGAATGCAGATTGATGACTCGTTGAGAAGCCACACTATGGGACGATAACAGATAGCAGCTGGCAGAGGCCATTTGGCTCCTCAAGCCTGCTCCGCCATTCAATTGGTCATCACTGATGCGATATTCCTCACGTCCCCTTTCCTGCCCTTTCCCGGTAATCCTCAATTCACCACATGTGGAGGAATGATAACCTCCATGATGATTGACATGTTGAGTGACCAATAGCTGGAGTGGGGGGATGCAGGGTTGGCGAGGGGAGGAAATGGCGTGTGGGAGATCACATGTCTCCCAGATTATTCCCAGCCAGAGTCGGCAAGATGGTTCCAATGTTGGTTTAAAATGTGGAATCATCTGCCCTCAAAATGTCTGCATCAATCCCCATGGAAATGGTGAGAGGGTGAGGGGCTGCTGGATACAGGTTACTGCGCACGATGCTGTGGAATGTGTTTACAGGAAGATGGACAATGTTTCACATGGGCTTTCTCCCACTGACCCAGTTCATACTCAACCAACAGAGAAAGTGTGAAAACCAACACATTTGAGGAACTCTGTGATGATAGCAATGATAGAATCATGCAGTGCCAAAGAGGCCCTTTGCCCATTGAATCTGCACTGACATCTCGCCAAGACCTTCCCCACGCCTCCACTTCTCACCTTCAAACAGCCACCAAACCTTAAACAGACCATTGTTCACAGCAAACTACCCAGCCTTCAGGACAGCATCGACCACAACACCACACAGCCCTGTCATGGTAACCTCTGCAAGACATGTCAGATCTTCGACATGGACACTACCACCACACGTGGGAACGCCACCCACCACATGCATGGCAGTTACTCATGTGACTCAGCCAATGTTGTCTATCTCATACACTGCAGGCAAGAATGCCCCGAGGCATGGGATATTGGTGAGACCATGCAGTCGTTATGACAACAGATGAATGGACACCGCTCAACGATTGCCAGACAGGGATGTTCCCTCCCAGTGCAGGAACACTTCAGCGGGTCAAGGACATTCAGCCTCAGATGTTCGGGTAAACATCCCCTAAGGCAGACTTTGAGATACCAAACAACGCAGAGACACCGAGCAGAGACTGATGGCCAAGTTCCGTACCCATAAAGATGGCCTCAACTGTGATCCTGGATCATGTCACGCTACATGTGACCCCACCATGCTGTTCTGTGTCTGTAACATCTTCCTTACTGTACTGTTTTGGCACCATCATCTGGATAAATTGTTATGATTTCTCTACCTTAATTAGTCTGTACCGTTTTGGATTACTTGTTACTCTGGATAGACCCTCATCGTGTGACTCTTATATCTACCATGTTATTCCAGTCATTTCGCTTGTCTCCAGC